GAGTATGGGTTGACATCTTGTTGTCTGAACTAATTATTTTTAATTTTAATTTTTAAATTTGAAATTTTTTGGACAGAATGTGAAAGCATAATGATGGTAAACCAAAGGGTTGAACAACATGCTATGAAAGAAGGGCAAAGGAAAAAGAAGAGGAAGAAGGAAGTTTTGGTTCCTCGTCCTGCATGCTCATGGGTGTATTTTAGGTTATTTCTTTTAATTTCTTATAAGTGAAATTACATTTATTATTAGAATAAATAGTGTATGCACTCACGTACACAGAAAGTGCGTAGAAATTAAACTATTATTAATATTATTGTGTGTGTTATGATTCTGTGAGGTACTTAGTTTTAAATCAATTGTTGCAGTAAGGAGTTTATCAAAGAGTACATTGCTTCCCATCCTGAGACACCAGGCCTTAAAGCTGTGAGCATCTATTTTGACTTTTGAAATTGCTAGGTTTGTACCTCATTTGTAGGTGAAAAACTTTTTATGGCAATAATTTAAGTAGAAGTTTTTTGTTGTGCAGGCAACAAAGGCTGCCTCGAATGCATGGAAGTTGATGTCTCTTGAAGACAAGGAAAAATATGCTAGGCGTGCGCGTGAAGTGTGGGATGGCTACTTGAGTTCTGGTGCTGCCCCTGCCCCCAAGCCAAGGAAACAGGTAAATTCCAAGTACTTGGGAGATGGTTGATGTGTTTATTCATGTCCGAAGTTAATGAATCTTGAAGCTGAAGATTAAATAATGCAGACTAAACTGGTAACAAGATGCTCTCCTGGTCGCTTATTCAATGTGTTACAACACCTCACACCTGAACAGAAGGAGGCAGTTAAGAGCATGGGCTTTGGAAACCTCCTTGGTCTTAGATGTCGAACACTTCGACGCAGTTTGTGTCTTTGGTTACTGGATAGGTTTGACACTACTAATTGCAGCTTGGAGATCTGCAATGTGCGCATGCCATTGACTCCAAAAGATGTAGAGTCAGTATTGGGATTAGCGGCCAGTGGCAAAGAAGTGGTAAATTCTGGTCCAGAAGACTTAATTTCAGATTTACGTAACAGTTACAATGCAATAAATCATGGAATTTCAGTGCGACTTTTAGAGGAGCGGTTGGCAACTGCAGAGGCTGGAGATGATTTTAAGAGGTCATTTGTTCTCTACGTGCTGGGAACGCTTCTTTCACCAACAGCTAGGCTGGATGTTAGCCCATCATTTCTCCACTTTCTGACAAATATGGATCTCGTCCATCAGTATAACTGGGGTAAATTCTTGCTTGATAGGCTGGTTCGAGAGGTATCACGCTTCCATCAAGGGAAGCAGAGAGCTGTTGGTGGTTGTCTCTTATTTTTGCAGGTAAATTTTTTTTTCATCAATTTTTATTTAACTAATAATTTTTAACTCCTCTTTCTTTTTCAGCTTTTCTACTATGAGAGCATATCACTTGAAGGGTCTTCTGCTTCAGTTCCAACTATTGTTCCATATCTGTTTTCTTGGGGAGAGGAGGAGATTGCTGAGAGAGAAAAACGAGAAAAGGAACTTGGCGGCTATGGTTCTGGGGAGGTAGATGTCAAAATGTTAAAAATGATTAAAATGATGAAAGTGCTTTCTGTGAAATTAATTTTTAACTTTCCAGAAACATACGATTTTGATATTTTCTGCTAAACTAGTGAATCCCAAGTTTGTTCAGATATTAAAGTATGCTTTTATTTTGCAGCTAGCAAGTAAGAAGAAATGCCATCAGATGGAGTTTTCCGAGCATAGAGATCATCTAGATGGCCCACCAATCACCACAGGAAGCATTAGGATTGGACATGGTCTTCTTAGACCTGAATCAAATGAGGTATTGATACCATTGCCATTCATTACTAGCCTCGTTGCATGTCCGCAAGAACATTTCAAAAGGCACTCTTTTATATATATATTTTTTCTATAATCATGAAACCCAAGTTTTTTCTTTTCTTTTATGAAGAAAAATGGCTAATGGATATTTGAGTTTCTTTTCGACCTTGCAATAATTGAAGTGGAGAAACAAGTGGAGTAAGGCAGTCTTAAAAGTTTTACAAGTTTGCTTGAAAGAAAAAGATGAGTGACCAGGAGATGTGTTTTCTTTAATAAAAGATGACTATATATTTTGGTGGAGCTTTAAAAAAAATAAAATTGGTGCATTACATGAAAGAACTTAGCACATGACCCTTGCTGTTACAGTTAATCAAGCAAATGGCTTTTAGTCTCTTTGGTGATGTTGGGTTTTGAACTATAGTGATTTTGTTGTGCTATAACACCCAAAAGTTGCTATATAGTTAATGAGTGCATAATTGGAAGGCTGTCCATCAGCATTTTAGCTGATGCAACTACTTTACCAATTGTGGTCTGCACATTCAACATGTTTTTATTTCATCAAGCTTTAAAAATACGCAGAAAAAAGATAATTCTGGAACCAAGCAAAAAATGTAATCATGGACGCATAGATCATTGGAAGCTGCTTATACTATAACTTTTCTCTTATAGATTTTCTAAACATGATCTTTTCCTGACCATGATAGCTAGTTGAATTTATATCTGAATGAATGATGGTGTTTTCAACAAGCTATTAGTGGAAGCTCTATTTCTATTCAAAAAATGCATGTGCACACTTTTAAACTTACCCATGCCTGGATGGCATATGCACCAACATACGAATTCTGCAGCTTGAGAATGTTTACCCTCTGAGTAACTAAATTGTTTCTACAGGAAGGATTCCTTGGTTATCCTGAGACTAGAACAGTGTTTAGTGCAGATGTGGGTTTAGTAGTTGAATCAATCGCAGCACCTTGTCAGAACAGAGAATATGGTTGCAATGAAATTGTGGATTACATGACCAGTAATGACCATGAAGTGACATGCATCTATTCTCCATGTACCTGCCCACTTCAAGACTGCAACTATGTTGGGTCATTTGAACAGTTGGCATTGCATTTCAGCAGTAAACACTGGGATTCTGGAAGACGATTCAAATATAATCGTCCATTGGCTATCTCTTTACACATGGATGAGAAATTCCTTGTTCTCCAGGAAGAAGAAGACGGGGTTCTATTTCTCCTCAACAAGGGCACAGAAACTAATGGGAGTACTGTGATGATAACCTGTATTGGTCCAAGCTCATCAAAAGAGAGGTTTATTTATGAGATTGTTTCATGTAGGGGAAGAAGTTCTCTCAGATTAAAGTCTGTAGCTGAGAATTTTCCTGGTCGAATGGAGGATTTTCCCCCTGTAGATTTTCTTTTGATTCCTTTCAATTTTCTTGTTTCTTATGGGGAGCTCAATATAGATATTTGTATATGGAATTCTACTGAGCATAATGTAGATTGCTCTTGATTTGTGACCTAGATTATAGATAATTTATTCAGTGAAAATGATGTCAATCGGCATTTATAAGATTTTTCTGGTATTTCTTTACAATATTCCTGCTCATTCTCAATGTTTGTGGCTTCTGTTATACTGGAAAAGCCACCTACCTACTCACACCCCCCCCCCCCCCCCCCCTTTTTTTTTTTTTTTCCTTCTCATTGCGACATCTCTTTTACGGTTCTTAAAATTTTTTGTCTATAGTATTTTTAATAAATTGTAGAACTTATTTGCTGCTACTGATGTAATAACTCCTTGCAGCCAAGTACATGATAGATATAAAAAACATTCGTCAATTTTCATCTAATTGCACTAGTTCTTGGAGAAATTGGTTGACAAAATTTATTCTAGTGAAAAATCCTAAATGGACAAATTTTATGAACAAAAGTATATAATTAATGAACAGAATTGTTAGTTGGTATATGATTGCACCAAACGGAAAATATATGGTACTGAGTTGAGATATGAAATTTCGTTTCTCTAATTATGCTAATGCCAAGTAAACAACTTTAGACTCGTTAAAAAAAAAAAAAAAAAAAAAAAAAAAACTAAACATAGTTGCATGTTATCTATGTATAAAAAAAAAGTCATCGTATGTCTCTACTATCTAAGTTGAACTTCATATCATATTTTTTATATCCCTATTGAGACCTTATTACCTTGGGCTTTCTCACGATTAAGGATTCTCTCTATTTTCAGGCTTGCACTAAAAGGTTTTCTCTTTACAATAAGAATTAAATGAGATGAAATTTCATTATAATATCTGATTCTATCCCAGGTGTTATATGGATTTGGCCAGGCAATAATTTTTTTTTTATAATAATTGAAATTTGGAACAATTGAAATTCTTTATTTGAGGCTGTCTTTAGGTGCATTTGCCCCATCAGAAGAGTTTCATGTCTTTAGTATACTATTCTATATTTATCTATTTATATCGATATAGATTCTATATATATCGATATAGATAAATCTAATATTTATAATATAATATAAAAAAAATATATAGAATGAAAATAAAATTCAATTGAATATAAATAATTAAAACAAAATTAATAAATTCATTAAAAAATTTACAAATAGCTCTTAAACATGCATGTTAGGCCATTGCTCAAACCTAAAGGTTCCACTCCCACTTACAATGCATTCGATTGAAACACGTAGATTCAAAAACAATATTGGTCCCTTCTTGATATTATGAGTTCCGCTTAAAGTTTAATCTAAAAGTGTCAAGACATCATTAAATATCAACTGATGGCTGCTTAGAACAACACGTTAATGTTCATCACAAGTCCTAAAAAAGTTGTAAGATGCTGGAATTTCTGGATTTACATACTTTTTAGCAGTTTAGGTTTTATGGTAATTCTATTTATTTTTTTTAAAAACAAAAACTTTTAAGCAAACCTCGTACAGAATGCGCAAGTTGTGATTTCTTAATTATAATTAAGACTCCTATTTGAGGTTTATTCATTTCACAGCTATTAATAAATTGTGGGGTTTAAATTAAATAAAGCCATGTATGAAAGAGAAGATCGAGAAAACATACATTTGTAACACAGCTTAATTTTCAGGTTAGAGAAGGGAAGGACGGAAACAGAAGCTGTGCCAACTTGCTTCTATATTTCAAATTTCCAATTTATTGATTATTCTTTCCAAGGCATTTCAAGTAATACATCAAAGTGTGACAAATAATGGTTGTAAAATAATATATGGTTCTAAAACAAATTGAATGGTTGCTACCAGCAGAAGAAACTGCATTTGTTCCTTCTTGTAGTGAAAAAAATGCCAGCCAAATGACAGACACTTGAAATAATTCTGGTGAAGGAGTTCCTCTATGGATTGGGAATAAAGGTGCCAACATAGCCAATCCCCACAACAAAGAAGGCAATAGATTGCAGGAAGAGATATATGAAGTAGTGGTTCTTCCCATAGGTAAGATCATAGCATCCACAGAAAAAGAGGTAGGCCCCCACTATAAGTTCCAGGAAATTAAGCCTGTTAATCATCAACAAACAAGTAGTAAAGGTAAAATCATTAGTACTAGTTATGAAATGTAGACACCAAAGTTCCAACTTGAGGGAATCAACTGAACTCATGTCTATGTTGTTCATTCTATTTTGTTATAAATGATAACAAGTTAATAAAAACAAGAGTATTCTCCTTATCTTTGTGTACCTCTCACCGATCCTGATACGAGGCTTCCTAGCTGCTCTGCCTCCTGATTTTGTTTTAAGTGCATCTCCCAATTTCTCAGTAACGACCCATTCATTTACTCTCCCTGCCTCTAGCAAACCTGTAAGTGTTGCCTTGGTCCTATGCATTGACATAACATTTTCAAAAAGTATCCAGAATACAAGTAAGTGGATTGACCTGCACAAGATATACATGACTAGTTACTCACAAATGAACACAAGAAAACCTTTTCAGCAAAGTCTTGCAATGCTTACCTAGGAGTTCCCACTGCATTGAGGAGTGTGATGATAGAAGGTATATACACAGCGCCCCACTTGGGGACTTCCACTTCTGGAACTAGAACAGTTGCTGGCATAACCACACAGTAGAATACAAATGTGACCACATGAGCTACGATTTTCCGGACAAAGAAAAAACTATAAATCACATAAAACTTCTTCCACATGGAGACTTTCTGCATGATATGGTCAAAAAAGGAATCAGTAGAGAAGATGGATACTACTAGTTTGACTTCTTCAATGACTACAAGGAAACTGATACCTTGTTTCTCATGATTTCCATTGCCATTTTCTTGAACAGATTAGCCGGGCCACATGACCATCGGTGCTGCTGATAACGATAGGCCTTGAAGGTACTTGGCAATTCACTTTTCACCTAAATTTGTTTAGGTAAATTGTTATATAAAATAAACAATTCAGTATATGATAAAAGACTAAACAGAAACTTGATGTATAACTGAGATGGTTTTTTGTACGATCTTCTTTGCTAAATAACTCATTGAACAAACTCGAGTACAAGCCCTGCAATTAAATGCAGTGTGATTGAATGATACCTTGAGATCACTAAGATATACAAATTTTCCGCCTTTGAGACCTGCTCGGACAGCTAGATCCATATCTTCCACTGTTGTGCGGTCCTTCCATCCACCAGCTCCATTTAATGCTGAAATTCTCCACACACCAGCTGTGCCTGCAACATATCATCTACATTGACATGACTGTTTCTACTACTCAACGAAACATATTGTTTGATTATTAAGGAAATGATTTACCATTGAAACCAAAAAAGGCATAGGTTGAGGACCCAACTTCCTGCTCCACAAGGAAATGATAGTCCAATGACATCTCTTGCATTCTTGTCATCAAGCATTCATCAGCATTAACTGCCATACACAAGGTATATTACTATCACACCTTACTGCCAAAGGCAAATAACTACATTCTACATTGTGATAAATTTTTGTCATGTAAATTGGAAATGATTTATTTTGTTTGTAGCTAAGACACTGATGTCAGTACTTTCTTTCTTTTTCTAACTGTTGATGTAACTTTTGTTCTTTAAAGCACCGACACTAAAAATGGAGTTGTGTAGATATCAAAATATTTTAAACCTTAAAGAATTAAGAGTGGTATTGTGTGCTGAGTGAAACTATCTTATCTGAGCTTCTTAGCTTCCATTGGACAATTTGATCTTAATGTAGATCTTAATTTTGAGTCCATTGGCTAAGCTTGGCCATGATGCTCTAAGTCTAAAAATAGTAATAAAGTGAAACAGCTAAAAAATAAATCAGTTCAGTTGTAACTAAAAACTGTATTTTGACACCAGATCGTTTGTTGGAGAACAGTTTTTGTTCTAGTTTCTAAAGCAAGCACGGAAAAAGGAGTTTCAGGAGAAAAAAAAATACCGAATTTCCATCGAGCTTGGACTAGTGAAACTTCTGGGTTGTGAGCAAGGAATGGTATGGTGCGCCAAAGGAAGTTAGGCTCAGGTTGGAAATCAGCATCAAAGATGGCCACATAGTCACACAAGTTCACATAGCCATGCTTCATGCCTTCTTTGAGAGCCCCAGCTTTGTAACCATTTCTGTTCTCTCTGATCTCATACTTTATGTTTATGCCTTTACTGGCCCATCTGTGGCACTCCACCTCCACCATATTCTGTCATTAAAAAAAAAAGTTTATGTGATAATTAATTAGACTCTGATCAGAGAATTAGGCTATATTGTATGAATGTAATGTATTAGTTTTTACAAGGTCTGTAGCCACAATAGATAATCCAGAATCTTGTTTTTTTGGCCAAATTGATGGTCACCGTTTTTCTTTACCATCTAAATGTTCAGAAACATGACATGCACAATTGTGTTTTGGGTTGAAACCTTGGACTTTCTGACACTGTAATTTTGTTCTTAAATGTTGTTTTTCCATGCAATTTGACGTAGATTATGAACTAATGAGTAAAGTTACTTTAAGTATCCCCTAGAGTGTATAAAAGATCTCGAAAGGAGCTTTTGTTGACTAAGGGAAAAAGAAATGGAAATGTTTACATTGTTTAATTATAGGAAGATTTAGGAGCAACTTGTCAGTTAACTTTATTAGTAGGGATGATTTCAACCTTAATGATTGGATCAGTGGAATCATCAAGAACTTGAATAATGATCCTATCAGAGGGCCATGATAGCCCACATGCAGCTCCAATTGATAATTGATACACCTGCAACCAATGAAACAGTACCCCAAAAGCCTTTACTTCAGTGAAAAAATAATTCTATTTCAAGAAACAATCTATGTCATAACAAATTTTCCTTTTAGAAAAACAGGGGTCTATTAAATGGGATAACTTAACAACATTACCTCTTTCTCATTGTACATAGGAATTTGCACCAAGACCATAGGGTATGCAGAATTTCCATGCTCAAGGTCATCCCTGAGTGGCTCCCATTTGTACTTCTTTTCTGGCTTGAACCTAAACAACTTCACAAAGATTATGACTACCCCCATATAAACTCTCTCCACAAATAACATAACTGACATGGCTAGGCACAAAGCCACTAGCAATTTCAGCAATGGAACCACAAGGGGTGCCCTAGCTTGCTGCCAAATCAAACCCACTTGGCTTGCACTGCCATAATGCATGCTTTCAAACGTAGCTACTGATGAAAGCCGATCCATTTGGTGGCTTTCTTGGTTTCCTTTGGAGAGACAAAGAACACTTGTAAAATGGTGTGACTATATAAAACAATGTGATATCACTCACTATTTGTGCTTGGTCTTGGTGGCTTGTTGGCTTTGCGAAAAGAACACGAATTGTTTCTAGTTTTTTTCACTTTTGGTCACTCACTCTCTGACTTTTCCGTAGGAGTTACGTCAAGGAAGAACTGGCGTCAGAAGGAACTATTATAACACTGCTAACAAAGTAACAATGCATTCACACGAACTAGCTAGTTCAGCTCCATGTGCAACATTTTGTGTGACACCAAATGGACCTAACGTGTGTTGCAATGCTTTTCAAGTTCTCCCTCCCTCTCTCTCTCTGGTCTCTCTTCTCGATTATGATTAATGAGAGAGAGACTCTGTGGTATTTTGATGCCTTGAGTAAGAACAGAACAATGTGTAAAGTATTTATATATAAGAGATTGCAGTGTTTGTATCAAAGGAAAAGAGAAAAAATTGCAAAAGCAATAATTATGATAAGATTATAGATAGCTGGCTTGAGAGTTGAAACCAGAAAAGAGTGTCATAATCCAGTAGCGTTTGTAGACATGTATCTAACAGAACATTAAAATATGAAGCAGTGGTTTCCACAAAGCAAGTCACTATTATTTCCTATCAGCAAGATTGAGATTTTGTGCAAGGAAAAGGTTTAGTACATCAAGATGTATGCAACCTCATTTTAGTCATTAAAATTGTTTTGCGTATGAATAAAAAATACACTAATAAAGTTCTAATTTAAATATCAAGTTAACGTGGAGTTATTTCAGCTTAATTAGTATATTCAAGTTCAAATATATAATGTTAAAATATTTTGAAAGAAAAGCTTGATTATTTAACATGATTATATCGGTTTAAACATAATTGTCTCCAATAAAATCGAATTAGTATCGTTTTGTACCCTTAAATAAACTAAAATAAGCATATATTCAACTTTTTTATGTTTAAGAGAGTTTTTAAACTGGATTAAATTAATGTGGAAAAGAGTTCTTTTGTTCAGTGCTTTTGGCAAAGAAGTTTGAAATTTCAGATTTGATTTTGGTTCCTTTGAGATATCTTACAAAGGATGTGATGGATCATGTGTTGCTAAGTTAGACAAAGAACAGCCAACAAAGGAAGCATACTTGGCGGTTGACATGTCGATATATTTTACAGGTCTTAAGTAATACTCACCTTAATTTTACATCGAGAATTTTGAAACTCGAAAAGTATATATAAATTGACACATATAATAATATTGGTGCTTTACAAGCATAATAATCAAATTATATGATTAATCATAATTAATATCATCAATTTTCTCCAAATAAATTTAATGGAACTTGACAAATTATTATGATATCATAATTGGCATTGAATGGCCACTTTAATATCATCATAAACATATATTAATACGGTGATTTAATTCTTTTAATTAAAATGAGAAACATGTGTAAAGTGGAAATAGAAAAATATGTTTATCGTTAATTAAATTAAACTAATTAACTTATAAAATATTCTAACTAATTTAAATCAATTGTAAATAATTTTTTACTATGGTTAGAATACTTTTTTCTAATGAGATTTAAATACGTTGTAATAGACTAATATATCTCCTCAATTATTAAAGTTGACCTAATAAAAAGTTCAAAATAATATATATAATTATTAATGAGATTTAACTAAGTAATTTATTTATTATTTCACAATAAATAAATAATTACATATCTATAATTGATTTTTAACATATTGAGAATAATAATTTTAAATATTTTTCTTTTTAATTTACCAATTTAATTAAATGAATACAATTTTACTTTTAGTATATTATTATTTATATTTTAAATTCATTAACTTTGACGTGCTAACGTGGGAGTTGATTGTTTATTGCTTATTGTATAATGGAAATTGTTTGTTTGATTGTAACTGTTGACCACCGCAATAGGAATTATTTTAGAAAAGGTGAGTTTGGTTATGATCCATTATGATATGATATCAGTAACAAAATTAAATTTTGCTTTACGATATTGATGCATGGAGATCCACGGGGCAATATAATTCAGCATGCACATGCACACTGTTCAAGAAGAGTAATCAAAAAGTATATATATATATATGATATATCAACTAATATTTCCATTAATAAACCATGCAATGCAATCACTTTGTACAATCTCCCTTTTCAACAATATATGTATATATGCAATTCAAATGACGCACACAGACTCAAACCCTTCTCAACAATGTATACAACCTGGTGTTTCCTTTAGCATCCATAAACCATGCAATAACGATCCACGTTAGAAATGCTTCAATACCCACTTACTTACTATATGACATAGATTAATCACGATCGTGATACTGTAAATTTTGTTTAACTATCTTAATTTTAGTTATTTTCATTTTGTTCATCCGAAATTTTAATTATTTTTGCTTTATACTCTTATCTAATTTTAGTTGTTTTTATCCTCTTAAATTTTGGTTCTTATAATTTTCTAACTTTTATATTTTGGTCTCCATAGTTTTTAAGATTTTTTGGTTAAATTTAGCAGTCAATTTAACAGTAAAGATAAAAATGAGGCAAACTTTTTTATAGGGGTAAAATTGAAAAGAAAATTATAAAGAATTAAAATAAATAAAAAAATATATCTTATTTTACAAGCACAAAAAAATTATTTAACCCTATAGATTTTTAAATAATAATAAATAATTACTTTTTTATCACAAAATAATAAATTTTTGAATTAGCTAAAAGTTTTGAATTTTCTCATTCATACTTCCCAAAGAATATGAAGACCTACTATTTTACTAATTCCATTTGAAATGTTTTTATTTTTAGTCAATCAAAAATGCATCAAGAGTACAAGCCCAAACAGGCCCAAATCCAGTTCTCTGAAAAGCTTAAAGCATGCAAACTACACCAAAGGATTGACCTAATCTAAAGATCAAAATAGACCCCTAAAAAGTACCTTAACCAAAAAAATAATCTCAAGTACGAAGAGCATAGCCAAAAGAGAGACCCAATAAAATACTTTTTCTTAAACAAAAATAATATTTAGAACATATTTAGTTTGAGAAGTTTTTATCTAGTATAATTTTATTAATAATTATGGAATAACAACTTTTTTTTTCGTTTGTTTCCTATTATTTAAATAAGAGTTAATCACCTATACACTAATAATGTAAAGTTTTTTTATACTGATAACTAATTATATCTTTTAATTATGTCATGTCATTATAAACACATTTACTTTTAACAGTGACATGACATAATTAAAAGATATAATTGGCTGTCAGTGAAAAAAATTTACACTAACAGTGTATAGATGATTAACTCTTCAAATAATCATATAAAAAATAGTGGACAAAGTATCAAGCTGACCTGTCTGTCTGATTTAAATATTGGTTTATTAGTTTGTTTATTTCAATTAACTTATGGTTTCTTACACCTAAGCAAATATTCGAGAAACTTAGAAACCAAAATAGTTATTAGTGATTATAAAAAAAAATGAAGAGCTCTTGCTACTATAAGAAAAAGAATCTAAAAAGCCTCGAACTCTAAAAAAGAATAAAATCTTATTGTACTAGATGAGTCGAATGAGATGACACAATGAAGTGTATATAGTCAAGGTCAATAATCTATGGATACTCCGAAAAATCAAAAAAAAAAAAAAAAACGAGATAAATTATTCACAAGGAACAACTTAGACAAGTCATAACTCATAAGCCAACTCAAGGCATGAAATATTGAATTTGAAGAACATCATTTACGGACAAAAATATGTACACAAATTTTAATTTTTTGTCCCTGTTTGATGGTTTATTCTCACTTAATTTACTCCTCCTATGTCTTTTGTCAACATGCATAATATCTGTCTTTTTGATTTTTTAATTATAACTGCGTCTATGTCTTTTGCGTAAGCATTTAGCAATAAATGAATTTGCTTGAGTTGGCATGTCTTTCATATATAATATATAATTCTCACCATCTTTTCATTTTGTTTTTTCTGTCTTTCCGATATTCCAAACAGTCCAAAGCTAAATATTGACATATGTAGGATAAACCTATTGATAAAAGAAAAAGAAAATAACTTTCTCCTGTAAATAAAAATTAGCTTCTAGAAATCTATAAATAAGTTTTAAACAAAAACTATTTAGCGAATAAAATACTGTTATAAATTAACCTATGGATATTATAATTATTAGAAATTTCACATCAACTAATTGTATAATTTATAATTTATATAATATATATAAATGAAAAATAATTCTAACATTACAAGTTGATTTTGTAAGATTGAGTTAATTTTTAATATACCTTCTTAATATGATATTATAGTTTATTTCAATAATTGTTGAATTTATTAAGTCATTTACTACCGAATCATTATTGGATCACTTATAAATGTTCAATCTTACAAATTTCATGTTCGAAATGTTTAGTTTTTGACAAAAGAAGAGTATGTTGAAAATCTTACACCATCCAATGAGATGACTAATATATTATATAATTAGAAAACAATTTTTATCTTACAATGTGATTTTGTAAAGTAAAATTAACTCCAAAATCATTTTTTAAGATATATTATCTACATAATAAGAAATTTATTTATCTATGAATATTGAGAAATTTATATCAAATAAAATCAATATGAGAATTGAAGCACCATCTTAATTCAAATGTTTAATTTTCCTGATTAAATCAAACCTAATACTAAACTGGGTTGCATCAGAAAATCCCTGAGGACATGGATTACTTGTCCTACTTATGTAAGCTGGAAACAAAATTGGCATCACAATAACTCAAACAACTCAATTTTGTTCTTTTGGTTAACTACCTTCTCTATGAGGAGAATTAGTCAACATCATATAATGAGCACATAAGCACTTTTTTGGTCTGTTCATCCACAACAAGCACTTTTGTTCTTTGTGGACCATTACATGTTAAGGGAAGCTTCCATAGTTACCTTTTTTAATTACAAGACAAATTGAACTAATCCAGATACCTAGCAAAGAACAACATAGTAATGCATATAATGTCAAGAAACATGATGTCTTTAGTGGTTAATTGGTTAGAAAAGTGTAACACAAGCCTTTCAGTGATTTCTTTAGGGAGAAGCTTCTGCTAGTGAAAAAATTTCCTCTTGTTCTCTACCAAAACGTATTTGATCCTTTCATTTTAATTAACTTAGAAAATAATAGAGCATCTTACTTTAATTGGGCTAACCGCAGACATATGCATGTGTGAAAAAGATGTGAGAAGCAAAAGAAGAAGGAATAGTATAAAAAATTCCAAAAATGAGAGAATTCGAATATAGTCAGGTTCAAAGTATGAATGAAAAAATGTTTTATTTGGATTAGGAATAAAATAAAGAATAAAGAAACAAAAAGAAAAAGAAAAACTGGTAAAAAAAAAAATAGAAT